TGTGAAAGCTCCAGCCACGAAACAGCGAGGACTTGCCTGGAGCTGACGCACCAAACCCCCCCGAGCTGCCCCTGGCTCCGTGCTGTCCCTCCCCACCCCTCCACATCGCAAGTTGCTACGCCTGGGTAGTTCCTGGGTTTTGCCCCTTTGCCCCGTCCCGGGGTCCATGGTGTTTTCGTTCGGTGGCTTAGATAAAGCGGGGCTGCTGCTCGCTGCCTGGCTCCCAGCCCCCCGGGCAGCCGGCAGCGGCAGGCAGGGATGTGTTGTTGGACTGGTTGGTGTTGTAGTCCGCGTCGGCAGCGGAAAGGCGTCGCTCGGGGTATTCTTCTGCATCGCTTTGCTCTTCTCCCGGGGGGCTGCGGCAGCGGGGAGCAGCGCCCTCCGTGTCCGACTGCCCCATGCTGCAGCTCCGGCTCCGCTGTCCCTCGCTCCCATCATCACAGTACTGAGCTTCGTCTGTGCTGGTCTCGCTCTCCTGTTTCCTTAGGTGGCTTCGTTGGCCCCCATCCACGGCGGCCAGCAGCTCCCCGCTGTCCTCCAGCTCGGAGTCGGAGTCAACGGAGCGGTCGCCAGACTCTGCGGGACGAAGGAGCCCTGCGTTACCCTCCTGCCCGGCACCGCGGCATCGGCGGGAGCTTTGTTCAGCACCCTTGTGGTCTTCAGGACAGGGGAAGGGCTTTGTGTTCCTGCCAGCAGTGCCCCAGAAACCCGCACCCGCTGGGGGGGAGCCACTGGGTGCTTCTCACTTACCCGCAAATGGCCGGGTGCTGTAACCCAAATTCCCCTTCTCTGAAGGCAGCTCTAGGTAGGCGCCGCTGCCGGGAGGAGCTGCGGGCTGGGGACCTGCGCCAGCCTGGGAGGAAGAGGCACAGTGAGGGCACGGAGGAGAAAAAAACCCTCTCGGTTGCCGAGAAACGGTTCCGGAACCGTTGTTCACTGGAGAAATACCAACTTCTGTCCTGGTGTAAGAGTGTGTGGGCTCCATCCTCCCCCCCCCCGCCTGACTCACCTACTGAGACTGTTCTTTTGGGGCAGAAAATCACTCACTAGTGGAGTGGGGATGCATGCGGGGATGTGAGGAAGCAGGGTGGGTTTTCTCAGAGAAAGGCCACAGCGTTGGCCAGACCCGTGCCCTCGCGTGGCGCAGCAGGGATGGGGAACGTCGCTGGGGCACTCTGCAGGGCAGAGCACGAGGCTGGGGCACCATGGGGGGGCGCGGGGGGCGTTAGGGCTGTGGGAGGGGCTGCCCCAGCTGATGGGCCCCCGGCAGCCTCGCCGCCTGTGCCAAATTTGCCGGAGTCGGCCAGCACCGTGGTCTCGTTGTTCTCAAAGATGGTTGAGTAGAAGATGATGAGCGCCTCAATGATGCGAGCTTGGTGGGGATAATCAACCAGCGAGGACAAGGAAATCGTGGCATCCGTGGGCCTTGGGCGCATCAGCGTTGGCCCAAAGACGATGCCCAGGTTGCTCGAGGTCATCTTGTTGTCCTGTTCCACTTCCACAATCCTGAGGAGGAGGAGGAAGTCATGAGAGCGAGCAGGGAGGAGGGGCGGGTGGCCAGGCTGGAGGAGC